CTCTGTACAGCAATGCACAGACCAGTTCATTCTACCACCTAGAAGAATGTTTGACAAACAATTTGAACCACCGCCCGCCTTACGCTCTAGGCCAAGCCTCAAGGGACCTCCCTTCTCCTGGGGGGAAGAGCAGTACTGCACATCAAACACAAGCCAGAAAAAGCACACGACCTCAAAAAACTTGTGATTACTTGTCCACACGGACTGCCAGGCCCAGTCAGCAAGAAGCCACAGTGACCCTCAATGGAGTCATCCAGGAACAACCTTGCCACTTTCTCCTTCCTTCTCCCTTTGGAGATTTAAGCCACCACTCTCCTTAACCCTAGGCCAAGCCTCAAGGGCCTCCCTCGCTCCTGTGGGGAAATTATGTATGCTGCATTGAAACAGATGAAGGAGAGAACTGTCTAAAAGGGAAATACGATTAGGTATTATTGTCATGACAGGCGTCCAGAAAGAAGGCTGCATAGTGGAGTGGACCTGAGAGAGGGATTGTCTAACAATGAAATAATTTTCCCTTTACTTTTTCAAGAGAAGAGTGAACTAGGGGGAGGAAGGGTGGCAGGGAGAAAAGTGCAACAATGAACGAATGGAAATCCAAAGTCTCTGTAAACTTTCATTAAAATTAAGAATCATAATAATTTTAAAAGGCTATAGGGAGAATATTGAATGATCCAGGAAGCATCAAAAGGATGGATGGGACATCATGCTTGGAATGGCAGAGAGTCAGCGATGGAGAGGAAGATCTACGGTGATTGACACAGTGATTTCAGCAATGGGCTCCAGTGTTTTAGCAAGTGTAAAGAAGAGAATGGGACAGGGGTCAGATCTGTTGTTCATAGGGTCATTATGGGTCATATGATGGTGCCTAACAACAATGTTATTGTTGTTAGTGTTATGTTCCCTAGACTTAACTACAACTCATAGCAACCCTATGAAAAATGACTTTAAACCTTGCCCTATCCTGAGCCAACTTCGCCTGTCCCCATTGCCACAGCCACTGTGCCAATTCATCATTCAGTCTTCCTTTCCTGCACTGGCCCTCTACCCTTCCAAGCAAGATGTACCTCTCCCAGGACTGATCTTTCCTGGCAACATGCTCAAAATATGTGAGACGGATCTTCTAAATCCTTGCCTCCCAGGAGAAAGTTGTTTTTATCTTCTCCAGGAAAGACCTCTTTGTATTCTTGGCGGTCAATGGTATGTTCAATACTCTTCTCCAGTACACTGACTTAAAGGCATAGGCTCTTGTTCTGTCATCCTTAATCACTGTCCAGTTCTCAAATGCATAGCAAGCAATTAAGAATACCAAGGCAAGGAAGCTCTGGTGGCCTAGTGGCAAGAAGCTGTACTGCAGTCCCAGAGGTATGCAGTTCAAATCCACCAGATGCTTTGCTGGAGAAGGAGGGGCAATCTCCTCCTGTACCAGTCAGATCTGATTTGATGGTACACACACACACATAGATAATAAAATTTAAAAATTAAAAAAAAGAATACCAAGGCAGTTCCCAGTGATCCCACGGATCTGTCTCTTGCTTCAACAGTGTTTGGATGGAACAGATCTGGCGATTCCCCACCTCCAGCCTCCAACAACCCTCCAACTTCATCTGCAGGCTTAACCTTTGACCATCTTCGACATCTCCTGTTTATGGGACCAGCTAAGGCTGCTTTTTTTGTTATACTCAAAACCTCGACCAACTATGAGCTCTCAAATCCCCCCCACCCCCAAAATAATACCAAGGCTTAGATCAGACAAACCTTAGGCTATAGACTGACATAATTTCTCTTTGCTCTTCACATCTCTGTATTGTTACTCTTTAATAGTTGTGGACAAATCTAGCCCTTTGCTCTGTTCACCTGGATGTAGGTCCACTCTAGGAACCAGGAGTAGGCATCAAGATTTTTCTCATACTCCTCTAAATAATTCCTTGCCAAATATCTTGGTTGTAGGATTCAATGTCAGTCTTTGGTCTTTTGTGGTTTAAAGTTCTGCCCTCAAGATCAAATGTATTAGCTTGAATCTTGGATTTCTTTTCTTTTTTTTTATTTTATTTTTTTAATATTTTTTTTTATTGGGAAAAACATATTGGGGGTACAAGGAGGTGAGGGTTGGGGGCAGAAGGATGAGGGTGGACCAGGATGCAGTTGCAGAGCTGCACAGTTTGGT